CCCCCCCCCCCGTCCCTAGCCCCACCCCCAACAACCAACAACCAATCCCAAATTAAGCACTTTTCTCCCGCCCCTCCCCACCACCCTCCCAACCCGTGGGCATGGCTGCCGCATGGCTGCGCTCGCTCTTCGAGCCGTCCCCTCCATCATCGCCGCCCGCCACCCCTGCCGCCCCGTCGCCGTCACGCGCAGCCTCGCCGCCGCCACCGCGGGCGTCCTCTCCGCCAACACACCCACCAGTACAGCCGCATAACCCATCTTCGTGGCGTGCTCGCGCCCGTGCATGGACGCTGGGCCGTTCTGCACCTTCGCCGCCCCCGCCTCCGCAACCGGTTGTCGTGCCCGCTACCCTGCCGCAGCTCCCGTCGCGCCTGGCTCTCCTCACCGCGCCGCCTCCACTCGACTTGGGCGCCGTCACCGCCCTTGTCGCTGTCCCCAACCCGACGCTCATCGCCACAGGACACCGATCCGGAGCTGTTGCACTGTGGAGCCCCGAATCGGGCGCGGTTATCGCCTGCCATCCTGCCGCCCACGCCGCCGCCGTCGCCGTCCTTGCCCTCGCCCACTCGCCAGGCGTGGTCCCCACCCTTGTCACCGGCGCCTCGGACGCTCAGCTCAGCCTCTGGTCTCCCACTATGCCTGCTGCGCATACGGCATGCACCCCCTTTATGTCACTACCGCCGTGGACCCGCTACGCATCACTGCTGGTGCGCGCGGGTGTTGCTTCCGTCACCTCATGCCCTCACACCGCCCGTCTCGTTCTCGCTACCTCGGATGGTCACCTCGGCCTTGTTCATCTTGATGCGCTCCCTGCCGATGCCTATCTTTCCCAACCTAGCGACGAGCCGCTCGCCATGGTGGACGCATACATCCAGCGCCGTGACGCCGATGCCCCGCTCACAGCCATGATCCTCGTCACTGGCTCCTCACTCCTTGCCACTGCCGCCGAGGACTCGGATGTCATCTGGCTCTACTCGCTGGAAACGCTTCGCCCGGTGACGTCGCTGACGGCGCATCCGGCTCCGATCACCGCCCTATTCATCGTCCCCGGCCCTCCTCGCCTCCTCTCCGGCGACGCCGACGCAGGCCTTCTCGTCTGGGATCTCTCCACCTTTCAGCTCCTCTCCCAGACCGATCATCAGCCGTCGCACACACCGCCGCGCCACGAATTGCCTCCGCCCCCGCCGCGTTCACGTATCACGCTCCGTCACAAGACCCGCCCAGGTGCTGTCTCGGCTGTCACCGCCGATGACGTTGGGCACTACGCGCTAGTCGCTCGCTCCTCCTCGCTCTTTGTCGTTGTCCTCGAGACGAGCGCCGTCGCTTCGTCGGTGACAAACGCTCACGCGGATGTCATTGCTGCCGTTCACTTGCTGGCGCCATCTCGTGCCCTCTCGGTCGACGTCTCTGGCGCTACCCGCCTTTGGTCCTTCCCCGATCTTGTCCCGCTCGCCACCCTCGACGTGCTCGCCAGCGATTTGGTAGCACTCACTGTCGCCTCGTCGTGCGCCGTTGCCATTACGGACGGCGATTCCACTCTGGTTTGGCACAACGACGCACAGTACTCTAACGCCCTCTGTACAGCGGCCTCGCTTCATCTCTCCCTGCTTCACGCTCAACCGCCAGCGCACGCGTTCGAGCCTAGTCCCCCAGACACCACCGGCGCAATGTGCTCGCCGTTCATCGTGAACGAGAGTATGGGCGATGATGCTGAGAGCATGCCACCGCGCTCGCCGGCTATGTACACCTCCAGCGCCTCCCCTGGCCCGCCCGACCTGCCAGCCTCCCACGACAAGACGGCCGACTGAGCGTCATATCCAATCCCGAAGACGACTCCACCAAGATAGAGGCCAGTCACGTTGACCTTGGTTGGCCTCCTCGTCCCAGTAGCCGTACCCACCTGCAGGAAGCACTGGCCGAAGCAACGCACATCCAGGCGCTGCGTACTCGAGCCCCATGTAGCCAAAGATCACATTCTGCACAAAGCCGCTGGCGTTGGTGATAAAGTTGGCGTGACCAACAACAAGCTTCTCTTTCCAGACCGCAAACAGAGGCGCCATGTGCGCAAAGCGCAACAAGGGTCGCCATTATCCACGTTTCGGCGTCCCAAGACACGTTTTGATCGTACTGGTAGGCGTCGCTGGACATTCACTGCCGGTTGATCACCAAAAGAAGCAAGCTACTTGTGACAAGCTGCATGAAGAATTGTGAATTGTTCTGGGTTGTGATCAGCTATGTTTTGATATCTGGAAGAAGAGTAGTGGCAAGAACTACGGCGAGAACTATATTTCTTTGTCGATTGACCAGTCTTGCTACGGCAGCGGTGGGATGATGTGTTTGAGACTCGCTACGGGTCTCAAAGCTGCGCGTCATGCCACAGCAAACTGTGTGGAGAAAGTGAGTTTAGTGCTGTGAATGAGAGAGATGAGAAGTGGGTGAGAACTACTTCTTGGTTGTCTTCTTTGACACGCGGTTGCCCTTGCGACGGCGACGGCGGCGACGGATGACTGTGGTCGTGGTACCAGAAGAGGCGCCAGGGGCTCGAGGGTGCGTCGTTGGCGCGCTCGCGGCTGCGACGTCTTGATCCCAGTCGTCAAGAACGATGGGGTGCGACGAGCTGCCGACGTCCGTGAGTTCGGGTTCGGCGGACGGCAAGCGCATCTTCTGCCGCTTCTTTGGGACCGGGCTGCTGGACTTGGTCGAGGCCGCCTTGCGCTTGTGCGGGCGCTTGCGGGGTGAAGCGGCCGGCGCGTTGGGCGGGACGCGCGTGGTGGCAAAGGCGGACCAGACAAGGAGGGAGATGCCCCATGCGTCCTTGTCTAGCAGCATGTTCTTGTTGAGCATGGCGTACGAAGTTCGGCGGAGCTCATGGATGTCCTTGTTCGGATCGGTTGGGAGGGCTTGGCGCCGCGGAATGTAGCGGAGCGCCTTATCGGCGCGAAACATGATGAGTCCCTGAACCGGCTTGTACTCGGACTTCTTCGAGATGCTGAGGTACGGGTACTGGCGGATGAGGACACTCTTGACAAACTTGGCGTGCCCGAGGCCAATGACTGAGGGAAGGGCACGTCCAAGGACGTCGTTGATGCTTGCGGCGATTGGGGTGAGGGATGGATCCTCAGCGGCGCGCGACTTGACAAACTCCAGGACCTTTGCCAGCTCGTCGAGCGTCTGCTGGGTATCGGAGTCCCTTGTGGCCGCGACAACAGTGTTGAGGACATCGCGCGGGCAGCTTGACTTCAAGATCGAGTCGGCCGAGCTGTGAATGATGCGAGTGGTGCGCGCGCGCCGTCGATGGAGGTTGACTGTGGCGGCGGTGGAGATGTACTTGACCGCGCGGACGACTGTCGCCTTTGTCCACTGGAGGGACAGCGGGCGGTACTCGCTAAAGCGAGCGGTGTTGAGGTCGACAACAGGCGCGTAGCATGACTTGGCCTCGTCAAGGCTGGGCGTGGCCTTGATCGTATGCGGTGCGGGCGGAAAGGTGCTGTTGTTCCGGACCAGATCGGCCAGGATCGACGATCCGAGCGAGAGCCAGGCCGAGACGAGTGCTGCCTCCATGTACGAGGCGCTTGCGGCGTCGGCAACGATAAAGAAGGCGGTGTCCACCACGTTCTGCATCCCTTGCGCGTCGAGAAAGTCCACAAAACCCTGCACCCAGGTCAGTGTGGGCCCGACGAAAACAAATCGCGAGATCTCGGCCTCGTCCTCTGACAGAACGCGGGCCAGCCACGACTGCTGTGATTTGAGCTTGTCGGTGTAGATAGCTTGGGCATCTGCAGCTGTGGCAGGTGCTTCGTGAGGCAGAGAGAGGGCGATCGGCGAGGCAATCATCGGGCCACGCTCAGTGAGGGTTTTGGCGACGTGCTGCTTGCAGAGGCGCGCAAACTCTTCGGCCACGAGTGGTGAGCCGCCGATGGCGGCGTCAAGCGTCAGCGTCACACGTGCGCTGTGTGAACTCTGAGTGATGTTGAGCTGTAGAATGGGGGAGTGGCGGACGTCGGTGGGAGGTGCATTGGTGAGCTTGAGACAGAGATCAATCGAAGGCTCGTTGAACAGCGACTCGCGATCCATGCTGACGTTGCTCAGCTCACCGGTGAGCTTCTCAAAGATGATGGGTGGCGAGGCCGAGGCGTGAATGAGGTCGATGAAAGTGGCACTGGGATCGTTTCCAGCCTCGATCTTCTTGCGCCACTCCTGGAGGTGCTTGTTGATCTCCTTCATCCTCTTGTCGAGCCCGATCATGGCCGGGCTCCGCTTGTCCTCACTTGCTTCCTGCGGCATGAACTCCTCGAGGGCGTCAACCATGGTGTCGACGATGGTCTGCTTTGCTTCCCGCGAAAAGCGACCACAAGGTCGTGGTAGCACTGGAGTGGTTCCTTGATGATGTTGGCGATGTTGGCGTAGAGACGGTCGGTCAACCGGGCCCGGGCAGCAAGGCTCACATCCGGGTCACTGCCACTCGTAAAGTTGGTCAGCTCCGTACGAAGCATGCTGATGATACCCTCCGACACTTGCTTGGACCAGGTGGTGCGAACGTCGAGGCTGATCTTGTTGACATGAACGGTAGGCATGATGGATGAGGTGTTCTCGGCGTCAACGAACGCGAGGCCGGCCTCGGAGCGGGCTTTCTTCACCTCCTTGGTCGCCTCGGCCTGGATCATGTTGAGCTTGTTGATGAGGACTGAGCCGGTGACGTCCATGATCTTGTCAAAGACACTCTTGATGTTGCTGACGTTGATGGGGTGAGATGCGCGGGGCGGCTTTTTGGCAGCCTCGACGTACTTGTCGACAAACGCAGCCACCTCATCGTCCTCTTTGGTGTTGCGGCCAAGAAAGGTCTCGAGTACTTGCTTGCTGTAGTCGGGCTCGAGGGGCTTGTCCTTGATGATGGCCTCAGTAGTGCGAGCGGCGTCGTCCCTGAGCTCGTTGCGATCCGAGTCACGCTTGCGCTTGACGGCCTTCCGCTTGCCTGTCCGCGTCATGACCCGCTCGCGGATGTCCTTGATGTTGTTAGGAATCTTCGGTCGGCGTGCAGCCTGGACAGCTTGATGAACTGGCATGGTGGCGTAGTAGACACGGTGCGCGATGGCTTGATCGATGGTCTCGGTCAGCCACTTTTGGGCGGCGTCGACGGTTGCCGCGTACTCGACTCGATCTTGCTGGGTTGGGTACCGCGAAAAGAGCTTGCTTGAGTCAACCGCTTTGGCCTTGTGGGCAAGCGAGTTGAGAAATACGTATTGGTTGCCAGAGTGGTCGCCTGTTGATGCGATCGTCGGCCCCTCGCTCGCCGCTGTGGCCACACTCGAGGTTGATCCGGCGGTCGACGTCTCGGCGTCGACCGAGATGGCGCAGGTCAGGATGTTGCTGCGGAGGATAGCCGACGGGTCCTCGGCATCATCCTTGTTGTTCTCGGGCGTGTAGACGTTGGTGAGGACCGGCGCGGCCGTCGTCATCCCGGATTGGGTCCGAACCTTGACGATTTTGGCCACCAGCTCAGGCGCCGCCACTCGCGACGTTCCGGTCGCAAGGACTACAACGTCGGCCTTGAGAATGGCTCGATGACCCATCGTGTCTACCGTCTCCGAGTGGTTTCCAGGCAGGTCGATGAGAACGACCCGTGGCCCGGTAGCCCACGGACCAACGACCTCCACCCGCAGATCGCCTTCGTTGGCACGGCGTTGGCTGCTTGCCAAATGGTTGCCGTGGGTGTTAAAGGCTCGACGGACAAGGTCCGGCATGGCCAGGAGCCCACCTTCGGCTGCTGTCTCCTCGATCACCTCCTCGTGCTCGTCGAGACTCGTTTTGACCACCCGGATGGCAAACTCGTTTCCAAACACGAGATGGGTGACTAGCTCGGTGATCGGGCGGTTCGATGCTGCGGACGGAAGAGGCAGCGTGCCGACGTTCTCCATCACCCGCTGCCTGTCCTCGTCAGAGAGCTCATCAAGGGTCTGGTCCGGAAACATGCTTGCTGCCACAGTCACCGCCGGCGCGACCAGGAGGTTGCAGCGGAATGATTTGCCGATGCCAGCAGCGCCCGTCACGACCACCACTGCAGGCTCGTTGTTGAACGCGCGAATCTTTTCCTTGGCTGTTTGCACCTTGTTCTGCACCAACTTGGGCAGCTTCTCGGACTTGGCCACCATCTCAATGTACTCGACAATGGCTTCAGCGTTTTGGACCGTGCTGGTGGCCGTGATCGTCTGCCCCTCGCTGTCGACACCGGTTGCGGTGTCGGCATCGCCCGCTCCTGCCTTCTTGCCCACCCCTTCCGGCTTCTTTTTCTTGTCCTTTGCAACCGCCCTCTTGGTCACGGCCTTTTTGGCCACACCTTTGCGCTTGTTGCGCTTTTGCCTCGATGCAGTTTGTCCTCGTTTGCCGGCGCCGGCTACAACGCGTTACACGGTGAGTCTCACCCCGAAAAGGGCTGCGCCGCTAGCGGCGTAGTATGGCACACGCATATAGTGCAGTTGACTTGCATGTCTCTCCGTGTGTGTGTGGGGGGGTACTTTGCGCTGCTGAAGGGTGGCTTGGTCTGGGGTTGACCCCCCAAAAAAAATGCAATCCCCAGTGTGCCCTCTAGTGTGCGCGTCTAGAGAAAAGGGTTGCGGTCGCATATCCGCTGGCTGCTTCCTTCGATCTCCCCCCCCTCCTGCCCATATTGCCGTACTCGAGGAGCTTAGCTCGGAGGAGCTCATGCTGGCGTCGTCGCCAGTGACGTTCATGGACTTGAGCCCTGTTGAGGACCAGTTGGAGTCGGAGTTCGACATGGTGGCTGAGGACGACGACAAAGACGACAAAGACGACATCCGAAGTAAAGTGTTGCTGGCTACCGAGTCGATGAGATAGAGACACACGACACACTTTTGCTTTCATCTCATCAATGCGACTCGTCACCTCGTTTGGATCGGATGTGGTCCGTATGCCCGGGAGTGGTGAACCGACCATGTATCGACATGATGTCGCTGCCCGCGCCCAAAGCCAGCGACTCCTGAATCTTCCCTGGGACTGCAAGCAAGAGCCTGATCCCAAGCAAGGGAGCTGAGGAGGAATGGAATTGCTAGCACCGGCCTCGACTGTCTGCTATTGTAGCACATGGTTGGTGGTTGTCGTATGCTAGTCGTCGGCCGATACTTTTGCTGCGACCGCGTTCATGTCAGCCGGTCGGCGTTGGGCGACTCGGCTCGGCATTTCGTTTCCTTTGCCCACCGCACTCGCCACCATGACCTCATCGACGCAGCTCGTGGCTGCGGCCGGGCTTGTGCTCCTCGCACTGACCTGCAATGTGATTGCAACAGACGCTGAGGGCGAGACCACCACGGCACCAACTCCGTCTCCTCCCAAGGGTACGCCCTCTCCTCTCTCTCGCCCTCCCTGTCCCCTTCCCTCCCTCCCCTCGTAGTCAGTCGATCCGCTGGCGCTGGTCACACACTCATACACATGCCGGCTGGGGGCGCAGAGATTCCGCTTGGCATTGAGCTCGTGCTTGCGTATTGCGCACTGGGAGCCATGGCTGTGGTGCCTATTTATGTAGGCTCTGTCCTCTCGCTGGCGGCCATCGGCCCTGGCGGAGTGACCAAGTCGGAGGAGGGCGAGGTGACCCATGCCGAGGCCATGACCGCCGACGACGCCAAGATGTTTCCCATTATCGGCTCGGGCGTGCTCATCACGCTCTTTGTTCTGTTTAAGGTCTTCAAGCTTAAGGAGTACGTCAACTACGTGCTCACGGCGTACTTTGTGGGCATTGGTATCCTCGCCATCATGTCTGCCTTTGTCAAGCCGCTGCTTCTTCAGTTTGCGGCCCTCCGGCACCAGGATGAGACCGAGTACGAGATCAAGATCAACCTGACGCCGTGGAACTCGAGCGCGGAGAAGACGTCGATCTCGTTCACCAACCTGGATTTGATGGCGCTGGCTGTCTCGTCAGTCGCTGGGGTGTGGTACGCGGTGTACAAGCACTGGGTGGCCAACAATCTCGTTGCGCTTGCCTTTGCTATCGAGGGCACCCGCTCGCTCTCGATTGGCTCATTCTCTACGGCCACTATTCTTCTCTGCGGCCTCTTTGTCTACGACATCTTCCATGTCTTTTACTCGCACCTCATCTTCGGTTCGTCGACCATGGTCGAGGTCGCCCGCGGCCTGCAGGCTCCGATCGCCGTCAAGTTCCCGCGCGCCGTTCTCACCAACCCGTCGTCGAACCTCTCGCTGCTGGGCCTCGGCGACATTGTCATTCCGGGCATTGTCATTGCCATGCTCCTCCGCTTCGACGCCTTCCGCTCCAACGGCCAGTCGCGGCTCTACTTCTGGGTCACTTTTGCCGCCTATTTGCCGGCCTCGTCACTACCGTCGTCATCATGCACGTCTGGGCCGCCGCCCAGCCTGCGCTCCTCTACCTCGTCCCGGCCGTTCTCGGCGCTTCGCTCCTCACCGCTGCCGTCCGTGGCGAGCTCGGCGAGCTGTATGCCTACTCGGAGGGCGAGGATGAGGCTGCCAAGTCTGTCGAGGCTGATGATGCCGATGGCGAGGATGCTCCCACCGATGAATTGTAAAGCATGCTTTTTGCAGCCATCGATGGCCGACGTGCGACCGGCGTGCGCCACCTCACTTTCTCACATCTACCAAAGAAAGACTATGGCTGCTCGCGGACTGGACCACGACCTGAAGGTCAAGCGCGAGGCCAACTACGACAAGGATCTCGAGGCCCGCTGCCGGACTTGGGTGGAGGCAGTGACTGGGTATGGTCTGAGCTATTTCCGAGAGTGAGAGGCGGAAGGCGGAGGCCAGCGACGCCGGCGTGTGGCGAGCGGTGAGCGTGGACAGGTGGCATTCCTGAGAAAAGGCCCCTGGTCGCCGCAGGCTGCGCTTGGAGGAGGGAGGGCCAAGGGAAGGTGGACTCACAAGAGGGGGAGGTCTTTGATGTGCGGACGGTGCGGGCGACAGTACTACTCTTGCTGATGACTGGAACGAGGCGCTGAAGGACGGAACCGTCCTCTGCAGGTACGTTAGTGGCCTTGCCTGGTGCTCCCCCTCATATTCCCCCCCCTCCTTTCCCCCCCAACCAACATTCCTCAAATGGTGCGTCACAAGCGTGACCTGTCGTTTTTGGCCTTTTTATTTATTGCTCAATCTTCAACTACGACGCAACAGCCGTGTTCTAGTCATGGGCGCATGGCGATGGTGGCCTGGCGCTTTGTGGATGTGGTAGATACTTACATGCATCTGTTGTTGGGGGCACAACAGCGTCATCAACACTATTCAGCCAGGCACCATCAAGAAGGTCAACAACTCGTCGATGGCGTTCCGGCAGATGGAGAACATCGGGTTCTTCCTCGAGGCCGCCGCCTCCTTTGGTGTTGCGTCGACCTCGCTCTTCCAGACCGTCGACCTGTACGAGGCCAACAACATGGGCCAGGTCAACGTCTGCATCCAGGCCACCTCGCGGGCAGCGACCGAGAACCTGGGCTACACTGGCCCGGCTATCGAGGTCAACCGCCCGGCCGCCATGTAGAGCCATCCCTCGTTCTCGTTTAGCCCTGAGCGGTACGTTCTTTCGGACGCGTTGTCGTGCGCCTCAAAGTGAACAGCACAAAACAAAACATGACCGAGTCCTCCCCCCCCCTCCACTGCCTCCACTCGCTGGCCGATTGGGGTCGCATGGCTGCGGCTTGAGGTAGGAGGGCCGCGTGCCCGTGATGACGCCCGTCGCATAGGTGTCCATCTGCAGCATGCCCGAGTTGCCGTCGCGGTGACGAGCCGAGAAAAGCTTTGGCGAGGTGCGCGAGATGGCGCAGAGCACCGATCCGATGAGGCGGTGGGCGCGGAGATTGCGGAGCTTTGTTGTTGACAACGGCAAACACCGGAGGCGGAAGCGTATTCTCGCGCCACGGTAGGGGGGGTTTCAGGTGGGTGGGGGACAAGTAGTACTCAGCATACTTATCATCAATATGTGTGGGGGACCATAGGGTTGGGCGCTGATGTCGTGTGCTAGAACGTGTGGACAAATCTGTCCATTCCGCCGTACCTGAAAGGTTGTAATACGATTAGTCGACCTGCGCTGGAGTGAGCTCGATGGCGATGACGCCGTGGGTAGGGACCAGAGCCTCGAACGAGTTGTCGGCGACGCCGTGCGCGACGTTCGCGATGACATCGACAACGTTCATCCGCGTTCCTGGTGCAAGGCCGAGGTCTTTCCACTCGGCGCGGATGTGGTGGTCAAGGAGTCCGCGATTGAAGAGGACTACCGCGATTCGCTTGCCGGTCAACGGGCCGGCCCAGACTTGGAGCTCAAAGTCGATGCCGAGCGAGACGCATGTCCCATCTTGCGCCCGCAGCGCACCGTACTCGGGCACAAGCTCAAGGTCAAGCGCCGCCGAAGAGTTGCACGCCACTGCGGCGAGGCCGTCCCCGACCTTGCCGACGCACATAGTCCGGTCATCGTCGAGCTTGAGCGTGGCGTCAGCCATTGACCAATGCGATGCGCGCGCCGCCGCACCAGATCCAAGCGGCGCGGGGAACCACGATTGGGCCTCGGTCATTGCTGTAGAGAATGCGTCAGGTTGGGCGGAAAAGGCGCACGGCTCGAGGCGGAGCCCGTTGTGCGGCGCGGCGTTGACTTGCGACGCCGCCGGTGCCACTAGGTACGACGCCACCAAGTGGCCCTGGACCCCGAGATTGTCTTGGTTCCACGCGATGAGCGCAGAGTTGCCGAGGAGGCCAAGAGTAAACTCGTCCATGTCGACGACTGAGCACCCAATGAGGAGCGGCGACTTGATAAGAGCCCACAGCGCAAAGTGGGCCTCGGACTCGTGCTTGGTCAAGCCGCCGTTGCCGACTTCAAGGATGTCCGCCTGGTTGAAACCGTACGGCCCAGCGTGCTGCCACACCTTATTCGACATGTCGAGATTGTGTACAACTGAGACAAACACATCCTTGATGTCTTGCGAGATGCGCCAGGTGTTGGCAATGGCTGGAGCCCACGCCGCAGGGTTGTCGTCGCCCCACTCGCACATGGCGAACAGGATGTGGCGTCCAGACACGTTGAGCGCCTTGCTCATGATGGGGTAGAGGGTCTTGGGCGGAATGTTCTGCGCGTGGCAGTGGTCAACCTTGATGAGATCCACACCCCACGCCGCATACGTGTCAGCATCGACCGTCTCGTGGTGCAGTGATCCGGGGCGCCCGCCACAGGTCTGAGTCCCGAGATCGGTGTAGAGGCCGAACTTGAGCCCGCGAGCGTGCATGTAGCTCGCTAGATGGGCCATGCCATCCGGAAAAGTGACAGGATCGGCCGTGATAGTCCCGTTCGCCGTTCTGTTCCATGCCCACCCATCGTCGACGCCGACATACACGTAGCCCTTGCTCGCAAGACCCTTTGCGATCAGCGCGTCGGCCGTCTCTTCCATGATCGTCTGATTCACATGCATCGCGTAGTGGTTCCTGCCCCCCTCACCATGTGCACGCGCAGTCGCCAAGCATGAAAGACTATCTGTGAGTCGAGCCGTCTCCCCCCTCCCCCCTCCGCGCGAGCTCCACCCTGTCCCCGGCCGAGCCACCTACCACGAGTTGAATCCCATGGGAGGAGTGCGGCCGACACCGTTGTTGTAACCGAGGGCCCCACCATCCGCGAGCACCAATACCATCACCACAACTACTACCGCTACTTGCATGGTGTGTGCAGAGAGAACAGAGAAGTGTGAGAACTTGGAGAGGAGGCGCGGGTGTGTTCGCCTTGCGGAGGTTGGCCCGGCCGACCAGCCACCTGCTCGCCCCACCGGGCCATCTGCCATCTGCTCGCCCCACTGGGCCATCTGCCATCTGCTCGCCCCATCTAGTACTCCTGGCTTTGCTCTATCCTCTCCCATATCCGTGCTCATCTGCCTCTGCTCCTCGACTTGAGCCGTGCTCATCTGCTGTGTGGATGTGGTGACATCTTCACCTCCCCCTCCTTCGCTCTTCCTCTTCCTTAAGACCCTCTTGGCCATCGATCTCACAAGCAGCAGTCGTGCAGGACGTGTACTCTCACTCAATGCGGAACAGATGGACAGCCCGGGCGTCAGAGCCCTCGACAACCGACGACGATGTGATGCGGAGGCCGGCTTCGCGGACGGCGGCCTCGAGCTCGTGGAGGTAAGTGACTGAGCCAAAGTCGATGGTGGTCACAAACTTGAGCATCGGCTTGGCCCACTCCAGCAGGACGTTGCGCCGGGCCTCGATGGTCTGGGTAACAAGAATGACGCCGCCGGGCTTGAGCAGGGTGGCCACGTGCGCGAGCGCTGCAGCCTTGTCAGGCATGATCATGAGCGAGCCGGAAAAGTATGCGGCGTCGAACGGGCCGCCCGTGTACTCATAGATCGAGGCCTCAAGGACGGTCGGCAGGACGTCATCGGCACCGGCCGCGGCGACAGCCGCGTTGGCACACCGGACGTAGTCGCCGTCGTAGTCGACGCCCGTAAAGATCAGGCCCTTGGCCCGAGCAGCATCTGTGTTGGCTAGCAGTGCTGCGCCTGTGCCGATGCCCACGTCCAGAACCTTGGCCCCCGCCGGCAGCGCCTCGATGGCTGCCGCGTACCACCGGGTGGTCATGGCCACCACCACCGCGTCGTACACCCACGCCCGGAACGCCTGCGCCGCCGCCAGCACCGCCGCCACTGCCGCCACAGGCATCCACACCCACGCGCTAATGCTCATCTTACTCTCACGCAGTGCACTGTACCACCTTGTCGTCTCCGTACGCGTCCTCGCCCTCGCCCTCGTCCAAGTTGAGCAACAAGCCGTTCGCCCACCCGGGATCGTCGTCCGGTCTTCGTCCGCGCCCGGACCGTTCAGCCGTGGTCCACCCGTAGCTCCCTGCCCCCACTAAGCTCCCCTTACCACACTCTCTTCACAACACATGGCTGTTGCTGGTCTACTCGGACTGCGTTTATTGCATCACCCAAGGCGATGATCGTTCTGCCGTAGTACGCACGATGCCCTGCCACGTTCAAGAACACTTTGAGTACCACGTCTGACGTCGTGCGCCTGAGCCAGATCAGTCGCGCTTTGGACGCACTCGCCGGACCGCCGACTTGGTCGCTTTGCCCAGTCGGGTTAGCGACCGGATCGTCGATCGGACTCGCGCCACATCGCGAATAATGACCGTGCCTTGCTGGAGGACGGAGACAACAAAGACAACGGCAAGCGTCTGCTGCGCCACCCACCACATCACAGCGATGACCGCCAGTGGCGGAAGGATGGGAAAGGCAAAAAGAAGACACGCAGCGCTGCACCCAAGCGCCATCCAAGGGTGCTCGGCGTAGAACGTGACAGCGTGTGCCTTGGCAGCCGACGCGATGCCCCCAAGCCACGGTTCAAGCCACATCGGGACAACGATCGGGATCCAGCGAGCCATCTGCACACAGAACGAGACCATGAGGAGGGTCGAGAATACTCGGTTCCAAGCATTGACCGCCTTGCGCAGCCATACCCCGTCGTATCCCATCAGGCTCAGCGCACCGCCGGGCCGAATCGAACCCGGCAAGACCGGCGAGTCTTCCAGCAGCGCCACTGTCGCCTCCATTCGCTCCAGCGTGGCCAGCACTTGCGACGCATGCAGATTGTCCATTCGCACCGCGACTATCCATCCGCGCGCTCTCTGGCCCTTGATCGCCACTTTTAGAGGCTCACAGGCGAGTTGGACCGTCATCGTTGTCGCTCGCCGGCTCCCAGCCGTCGCCACCTCGACCCGCAGCGCAGCCACTTCGTCCCATCGCCACGCCACGCCCTCGCCGACCCTGCAGCCCTCGGCGCGGACTTCCAGCACCGCGCTCCCGTTCTCTACCACCCGCTTGCTCCCCACCCACACACCTTGCACAGCCACAGCTACACCACTCTGCATCGCGCCCTCCCTATCTCACCACTTCGCTTTGCAGCCGAGTGTGTCTCCACAATCTCAAATCCTGCCTGGCTAGCTGCCTGCCAGCTTCGGCTCGCCGTGACTCGTCGCCGTGCAACCGATCCACACCAGATGCATTTACAACTAGCGGACCCCGATTGACCGCCACCAGTGCTCGAGCTGTACTTTCTCCGGCGCTGCTCGCGCTGCCTGTTTTAGCTGGAGCTACCTGTATCGCTCGCGTGGCTTGCACTGCTCGCGTGGCTTGCACTGCTCGCGTGGCTTGCACTGCTCGCGTGGCTTGCACTGCTCGCGTGGCTTGCACTGCTCGCGTGGCTTGCACTGCTCGCGTGGCTTGCACTGCTCGCGTGGCGTGCACTGCTCGCGCTGTTTGTGCGACTCGCGCTGCTCACGCTGCCCGCACTGCTCACGCAGCTGACAGAGACTGAGAGCCACGTGGATCGCTCGGCTCATATATCGCATCAAACCCACCCAAGACCACAGCCGCGGTCTCGGCGTCCAGGTCCATCACCTCGTGCTTCACAACTTTCCGCAGCTGCGACATGCGCGCACTCACAAGCCGCTGCGGCTCCTTGCGCGACTTGCCGATTTCGCGCAAATCGGCATAGACGCCAATGAGGCTGACAATGACAAGGATGACCACGCAAGCCATGACCGCGCCCGTGACACCGGCAGACGGCTCATTGTTACGATCGGCGTACGAGATCATGCCCAGCCCCAGAAAGATAAAAAGCACGAGCTGCAGGCGAAACTCGAGTGTGTTGTACACTTGCCGGTAGTACGGACCGTACTTGAAGACAACCAGCGCAGAGGTGAAGAAGATGCTCGCCAAGAGGGCAAGTTGCACCGTAGCGTGGCGCGAGAAAAAGACAGAGACCACAACGAGACCTAAGCGCTTGCCGAGATCAGCCACCCCAGCCCAATAGTACACTGCCCGAAACCGCTTGTAGAGCGGGCCATATCGTCCAAACACACCAGGCTCTAGCAGCTCGCCACGATGCGAGGTCACCACCCACAAAAGTACAGCGGTCCGCACACCACGAACGCCGCTACAACCACGCCCCCGACAACTGCAACCTGCACCCATGCGCCATCAAAGCACGCAACGCCAGGATCGGCGTCAAGCACCCATTTGCCGTTGGGAATCTGCGAGCAGTCAAAGACAAGCAGCGACGCGCGCGCAAGTGGAATGTACAGCAGTGGCACGACTTGGAACATTACCGCTTCCACAACCATCTTGCGATTGACTGCCGCAAGCCGCTGCCCCGCTGCCATTCCAATACGCCCTGCCACAAATCGCCCCACAAGCAGCGCGCCGGCCACGGCAAGAACAAGTCCAACCGGCATCATCACCGACACCATGTACTTGGTGTGAAACGAGCTCACCACGCACTCGTTGGCAAAGATCGAGACGTCCACGTTCAACACGTTGAACACGTTGAGCACGTCCTTGGAGCTAGAGCTCCAGGCAAACGACCCATCCGCGATAATGCCCACAACTTGGAACGCCACCACTACCATGCCTAGCGACGCCGGCGCGCCCACGCTCCGCGTCACCAGCACTCGGTCTGCCTTGCCGCCATCGACGCGTGGAAGCGACATAACCACAGCCAAACTCAGCCCCACCACCGCGCCCACCGCCAGCAGCAGCCCAAACGCAAGTCGTGTGTCGCGTGCGCTCTGCTCGGGACACTCGCGGCAATCTCCATGCGCACTCGAGTACCAACCATCCGAGCATTGGTTGCACAGGTAGCCCTCGTGACCACGCTGGCAACCCTGTCCGTATCCGGCACATGCGTTCTCGCGGAGGCATTGCACAAAGTTGCCATCACCCGTCGCAAAGAACCCGGGTGCAGCCACAGGCTTGCCCACGCCCTGCGCACAGAACCCGCCACGCGGGCAGGCGCTGCACACCAACTTGGTCGTCCCAATGCCAGTCACAGCCGTTCGACCTGCTCGACACTCGCAAAGTGGCACACTTGGCGTGCCGACGTTGATATTCAGCTCGCCACACCCATCCACAGCCTCACACTCGACCGTTGATGCCTCGTACGATGCTGTTCCATCGCCGCACGCCGCACATTCCAGCAGCGATGTCCCTTGGGAGCCGGGTGTCCGCCCAAATCCGATCGCGCACGTGCTGACGTTGACAGCCTTCACCGCACTCGGTCGCAGCTCGGATCCGCCCAACACCTGTACCGCTAGCAGAATAGCCACGCTTCCGTTTGTCGCAACAGGCAGCTTCCGCGAGAGCACCACACTCTCAAGCCCAAACCCACGCCGGGTCACCAGGTACGGCACACCAAACTCGACACCAGATACGCTCGCCAACGCTGCTGATGCGGGATCGACACCCACGCTCAGGACCAGAGAGCCGTCGACCACCACTGCACCAAACTCGTCCACCCCCGACACCAAGCCAGCACCTAGCGCCACCCCAGACACTGCGTCGATCCCATCCACGCCGCCCACTGCCATGTCCGCCAATGGACTCGCCACCACAGGTCCGTAGCCACCAGCGCTACTCGCACCAGTGCTTGCCGGCAACGCCACGTTGCCAATCTGCACACGGCCTGTTGAGAGACAGACAAAGACCAGCCCACCACCGACGGTGGCGCGGCTGGTCCCGATGTTTGCATGCGATGCATTGACTTTCGCCCCGCACACAAAAAACGTTCCGCCATAGCTTGCCGAGTTGCCGTCGACGGTTGCATCCGCGCTAATCGCCACTGCCATCGCTGTCGCCTCGCTGGCGCTTGTCGAGTGCGGGAGCGACGAGACGCTGGCTGGAACAGGCATGACAAGCCGTTCGGCCATGGCTGCAAACCCGCCGCCGGGCCCGACGCTGTCGTGGCCAAGAACACCACCTCGTTGACTTTGTCCCCCGTCAGGTCAGCAGCCACAGGCCGGGACCATGCCTCGGATCCGCCATGAAGGTACGCCACGCACTTCCGCCAGCTCGATGCGCGCGCCAGTGTCGGCCGTCGACAGCACAGCAAGAGCACCACCGGAAGCATCATTGGCAGAATTGGCCACAAAGCTCGAGCCCGAGCCCAGTTTCGCCACCGGTGCACCACGGACAAGTGCCACCGCGCCGCCACCGGCCTCCAGTCCGCCTGAGTTACCGAGGACCACATTGCGGACAAAGGTACTGCTGCTAACCTCAAGATGCGCGTTGTTGCCTGCTAGAGCCACTGCGCCACCAGCAATCTCCGCCGTGTTGCCTTCAAACGTCGAGTTGACCACTCTCAACACGCCGCCCTCTCCCACCAGTACCGCGCCGCCATAGTCCGACTGGCTGTGGGTGAGGCTTGTTGCTGCCACCGAAGAGCAATATGCCACACGGCTGTTGTCGAGCGTCAGCACGCCACCGCTCACATGCAGCGCACACGTCGCTGTCGCCGCGCTCCCGATCGTGGCGTGCATGATGTCGACATTGGCAAGAGTCAGGTAAGTGTCCTTGGCCAAGTCAAACAGCACGCCGCCAGGCGTTCCACAATCGATCGACAACCGTCCGCCAACGCCCTCAATTCTCCAGTGCGCGTTGGTAGGCACGCTCAGGTGCTTGCTCGTTGAGCAGCCAACAACAGCAGTTCCCGCCGCCACCCGCAGCGTTGAACCATAGCAAATTGATCGCTGCACAAGTGTTGTAAACAGGCTGATGGCGCTGGGATTGGTGACGCCAGCAATGCTTGGTGTGGCGGGACGGTCGGTCACCGCCGGTCGGCCCATCAGCCATGACACGCTTTCGATGCCACCTCCATATCGCGTGAGGACCAAGTCGAGGTAGCCATCATCGGAAATGTCTGCTAGTGCCACATAGTGAGCTGTAGCCTCAGCGTCGTAAAATACCTCGGTGACTTCGAAGCTGGCGCCGTTACCACTGTTCTTCGCCATCATCACTTCCCTCGAAGACGATGGCGCAACGACAACATCGGCTGCGCCGTCACCGTTCACATCGCCGACAACCACACTGCGGCTCAACTTTGAGACCGAGAGAACAGCCACCGGCGTCGTTGTTGCATAGTAAGGCGACGACGACACCTTTTTGACCCACACCCACTGCTTGTCCGAACTAAGCCCCACGAGGACGTCGTCAATGCCGTCGGCATCAAAGTCGCCGAGGTGCAGCCCGTATGCCGAGGTTAGGCCTGTGACGCCAACGGTCGTAGCCGTGGATGCAAACACCGAGCTCGCTCCAGGCCCAAGTCCTTTGAGCCAGACCAGCGGCGTGAGCGCGCCTGGCGACGACATTGAGCAGAGAATGTCGACATTCCCGTCTCCGTCAACATCCAACACTTTGAGGTCGACAGCAGCCAGCGTCGCCACAACTGTAGGCGATGCCGCGTCAGGAAAGTGGCCGCCACCCGCTGCAAGCGAGAGATAGACCTTGTTCTCCGGTGGACAGGTAGCCACAACGTCGACGTCAGCGTCGGCGTCCACATCGGCAAACACAGCTTGAGCCTGGAGAGATCCCGATAACGGGCACAAACGCGCTATCGTTTGACGCGCACCAAAGCCACCGGTGCCGTCACCAGCATAGTTGACGACCTCACGTACATACGGATATGTACTCTTACTCAACACCACCTGGACATCCACCAGGCCATCACCGGTCACGTCGCCGACGCTGACAAAGTGGGAAAACGAGTCGACGCCGTTGGAATCAATGATGGCCTTTTGCGGGAAAGTGCCCAGTGAGCCGGTGTTGATGAGGCTCGCCAAGGCGCCATTGTCGCCGCCAAACACAAACACATCTTGCAGCCCATCGCCATTAACGTCTGCGACAGCGAGGCCAAACGGCGTGTCCAACGCGTCATCGATCGAGCGGAGCGTGGTTTCAAACGAGAACGTAGCGTTGGACGTGAGGTACTGGAGCTGGCCGTCGGCAGCGAACACAATGTCGTCAAACCCATCGCCATCCAGGTCGCGTTGCACAACTGCAATGGATCCAACGCCTGGAGACCGCAGAGTTGTCACACCAAGAAATCGCCCGTGGCCATTGTTGGGAAGCCAGCGCAGCGCATTGTCTGCTGTAAGCAGCGCATCCAAATGGCCGTCTCCATTCACGTCAGCAAGAACCACATCACGCGGGTTGATAAATGTGGAAAACAGGACAACTGCAGGGTCAAACTCGCGGTTTCCGCGGCCGTACACAAGCCGGACAGAGCCGTCGTCCCTCGACGCCAGCATCACATCGTTGTGGCCGTCACCATTGACGTCACCCACCGCCGGCCGAGAGGGCTTGGTGATGCCGTCAGCAAGGACAAGTGCGCCGGCTGCAAACGTTCCTCTCCCATCCGTGTTGAAAAGCACGCCCAAGACGCCGACGTTCTGCCCGAATCCGGACACAATGTCCAACGTGCCGTCCTTGTCGAGATCGACCAAGACAAACGAGTGCAAGTAGCCGACTGGAATGCGCTTATCGTCTGCGGACGAGAACGTGCCGTCGCCTGCCCCTCTTCGAATGGCAATATACTTGGAGGAAACCGAATATATCTCGTACACGAGATCAGAGAGTCGGTCGCCATCGACGTCGCCCACCACAAAGTCAATGTACGAGTTGCCGCTGCCGAGGCTGGTCACGACCGGCGAAGCCGAAAACGTCCCGTTTCCACTGTTGATCATGCTGTACACCAGGAGCGGTTGGCTACTTCGGGATGTCAAAATCACAACGTCGAGTGCCCCGTCGTCGTTCAGATCGTCCGGGAGGAGCGCGATGACTTGACGCCTGCTGTCTGCTACCATGCCCGGAGCGAGGACGGTCACCGGGTCCGACGTGGCGTCCCGGATGTGGTACACGGCCGGGCCCGACGCTGTCGTGGCCAAGAACACCACCTCGTTGACTTTGTCCCCCGTCAGGTCAGCAGCCACAGGCCGGGACCATGCCTCGGATCCGCCATGAAGGTACGCCACGTTGGCCTCGACAAAGGCAGGAAAACACTCCCTCCCCTCCGCCCCTCCACACGCCGCCGCCACCACTGCCACCACCAGCACTGCCACCACCAGTGGCTGACGACACTTGCCCCTGTTCTCCACACGCATAGTATCACGACTGGGTATTGGCGACAAATGTATGACTGAACCACCTTCCGCACACCCGCTTCACGCACACGAAAACAATCCTCTCCAATTCAGCCCGCCAACTCACTCTTCAGCCACTCTCCACGACCTTTTTTCCCCGCCCGCCCCCTCCCACCTTCCCCCCTCTCCAGCTCCAACGCCTCACGCGCCCCCTGCCAGCCCCACCCACCGCCATGATCCGGATAAAAGATAATCGGGATGCAAAACTGCCTGAATGTGCGACAACATCCGAGGAGTGGGTGAGCGTACCACGCTCTCTGCGCCTGTGCGGGCG